CCTTTAACTTTTAGAGTACCTTAATTTCCTTTCATTCACATTTCCCTTTCATTTCTTTTTCCCAATTGTCTCAATGAGCAGACTGATCTCTGCCCAATTCACAGTCTTGCCAATATTTTATTGCCTCATCAATTTCCTTTGTTATGCTCTTCTATTAGCTCTCTGTCCATCCTTCTTCCTAGCATAGCCTTCCCTACTCCTTGAGCTGATAACATTCTTTAGATTTCTTTCTTTGTTTTAACCTTCAGGTAAAGATTTCTCTCATCAACTTATTTCTAGCTTTTTTTTCTCAGCATCCACTTGACTTCCTCAACTTTCTTTCCTTTTTCCATCTTCTCAGACTCCTTTTTCTTTTCTTTTTCTTCTTCTTTTCTCTAATTCTGCTTTTTTTAACACCAGGCTTCTCTTTTTCTGTTCTCCTCTTATCTTTCTTCTTTCTTAATTTCTTCTTCTCGTCTACTGCTTCCTCTTCTGACTTTTCTTCTTTCTTTGCTTTTTCTCGTCTGACTTTCTTTTCTTTCTTCTTCTTCGCTTCCTCCTTCTTTTCTCTCTTCTGTTTCTCCTAACTTTGCTTTTCCTTTGTCTTCTCTCTTTCTTCTTTTTTCTCAATCTCTTCTTTTCTTTCCTTTTCTTTCTCAACTTTCCAACTTCTCTTTTCACTTTTCTTTCTTTTTCAAGCTCTTCTTTTCCCTTCTCTTCTTTTTCTTTCTCCTTTCTTCCCTTCTTCTTCTCCCCTTCTTCATCTTTCATTTTTATTGACCCACTGTCCAGCTTTGAAACACTAGAGCCATCACTCTCCCTTAAAATTTCAACATTAGAGACTTCAAAACACTTTTGTGTTAAGTATCATTTCCGTAGGCAACTTCTTAGGTTTTGTTCTGCATCTTGTCCAAAAATAATATGACATAGGTTGAGAGCGTTTCTCTCAACTACTGTCCACATTATGCACAACTCAACCTGGTTTCACATATGTGAGTGAGCACTTCTTGGGATTTAAAATGTAATGTACATAAAGTTTGTATAACCATTTCATACTATCTGTTAAGTTTGAGCATTCTATTGCACCCTGTTGCTCTGCAGAACCCTTTTTTTACTATCTTCTTCATAAATTCTTTCTTTTTATAATCACTGACCCTAGAAATATTCCTTTAATTTTTTGTCACCCAGACCCAGTATTTGGCACATCAAAAAATTTTACCCAAGTCAGCTGTTAAAATAACGCTTTGATCTTCACCCTTAAGCTTAACAGAGATCGACTCTGTTCCACTAACTTTATAAGAGAGCCGTAGAACTCTTTAACGAAAATCTTCATAACACGGTCGATTTAATGAACAAGAAACTCATCCATTCCTTGAACTCAAAGAGTACCTTTAAAATCAAAACTCATTGCTACTAAAAGAACTTCCAATCAATCACCATATGAAACGCATGAGAGGGATATTGGTGAGAGGACAGATTTACCTTTGTCGCGTGCCCTAACTGCTTGTTTCTTTAAAGTAGCCAGTTTTGCGTTTTTTAACTTTCTTTGGTTCCTCTTCTTGCTTTTTCTGTTTCGACTCTTTTTGCTCATTACTTTCTTACGAAAGCTTTTTCAAGGAGTTGAAGTTCTTGCTCAGTTAGGGAGTCGGCATGAGGCAAGCTGGGAACTAGATTCGACCATTGTTGGAGGATTTTCGAAACACAGAGCAGCTAGGTTTGTTAGTAAGAAAGCGCAATAAGGAATATGAAGCAGTTAATGAAAAAACAAGAGCACTTAAGTGGCGGGAAGAAAATAAAGAACAGTTTTTAAAGGGAATTCAAAAACGGACCAAATAAATACAAAAGAAAAATAAAATAAAAAAAATTAAGAAACGCCAAAGCACTAAAAAACCGTGAATAAAATAAATACAAACACAATAAATTAACAGTTTTTTTTGGATTTAGTCTAAAAAGCAAGCATTCTAATAATGACAATTAGAAAGTCAAATCAAGTAGAGTATGTGTTTCCTTTTTAGACAAAAATGCTTTTCACCACAGAACAAGAATTAGAACCATAGCAAGTTTTTCATTTTCGAATATAGAAAGCACTTTAGAACATACTTACAGAGTTCTAAAGTTACGATTTAGAAACTAAACCATACCAAGTTCTCTTTCTTAATTGCACAGAATCGACTTTCACTCAAAGGTTTTGTAAAGATATTCTGCCAATTGCTTTTCTGTTGGGAATAAACCTCAATTATCTATATCACCTTTTTTGTACTATGATCACATATGAAGTGATATGCCTGAGTTTCTATGTGCTTGGTTCTAGAATGCTTGAACTGGAACTTTTAGATAAATTGATGGCGCTTCTGTTATTCACACTTGGATTGGCGCTTTTCTAATTTCAGTTCCATAGTTATGCCAACTGTTGTTTGATCCATAGAACTTGTGCAACACAACTTCCAGTAGCAACATTATTCTGCTTTCTTGCCCAGTAGAAAGAAAGCAACAGATGTTTATTTTCTGCTTCTAAACCATGATACAAGACGCTACCCAGAAATTGACAAAAGTTGCCCAGACGTGCTTTTTCTATCTATCCTACTTCCTGCAAAATCAAATTCACTTATACCCAACAAGATCAAATGTATCACCTTTAGGAATACCACAGATCCAGATTACAAGTTCCACAAGATATTCTTTAATATTCTCTTTAACAGGCAATTAATGAGACTCTTTTTGGGACATGATTGAAATCTAGCACAATAGGACAACCACTAAATTGTATTCTGGTTGCTTGCCATTAAATAGCAAAGAACCAATCATA